ACAGAGTCTTACTCTGTCCCCTGGGTAGAGTGCTGTAGTGTCATAGCTCACAGCAACCTCAAGCTTCTGGGCTCAAGCGATCCTGTCTCAGCCTCCTGCATAGCTGGGACCACAGGTGCCCACCACAATGCATGGCTTTTCTTTTAGTAGAGAAAAATAGAAAAAAGACCACCCTCTTACTCAGGCTGTTCTCAACTCCTGAACCACCATACAATGCCTCTTTTTATAGCTTTTCAGTTTCCTATCTTTGGGTGAAGACTTTTGAGATATTCTTCTCAGATTATGTCCCCCATAAAGATGTTGTAAGTCAACAAAAAGCTGCATTTACAACAGTCATCCTGTAAGATCATGGAGGAGCAGAGGCAGCCAATGGATTTATGTGAGGAATGCTATGGTGTCTGCACAACGCTGAAGTCACCTGCCAGCATATTTCTCAGAATGTACCCTGCCACTAAGTAAAAGGGACTCTAGTTCCTGTTTTCACAGCCTGTGATCTCTGAAATGTGTGGTATGGGTGGCAGGCAGGCATTTTCTTTCTAACAGGGAAAGCGATCTGTGGCCCCAACATCAACCAGCAGCTGCTCTGAGGCACAAGCATCATCTGTGTCCCACACATCCTAGGCAGTGGCTCTGGGACTCTCCTTTTCAGGTGTACAGCCAGTACAGGCCCTACTGAGCCGCCTGAGAGACCAGAGATGCTGAAACCACTGAGAGGGCCCCTCTGAGAGCAGCTCTGTTCTCTGAGCCACCTACTTCCTGCATCCCCCCCACAGGGAAAGGGGGCCTGTTCTCCCAAAGTGGACTCTGCCATTCCCTACATCTTTGCTCTACACACATCTGAAATGTACAGCTGGTGGGAGGCGTTTTGCCACCCCAACTCTGCCACACAAGTGACTGACACCTCTGTCACCAGACAAGGTTTGGTGGGCAGAGAACAATGGGAGCCGGCAGAACCCGTGTCGCAGACGCAGCCAGAGGCTGCCTGGAGCCCCCCACCTACCGAAGGGCCTCTTGCCTAGGCCCAGGCAGGACAGGTGGTAGGCCTTGGTGCAGAACTTGCGGTCACATAGCACCAGCTGGCCGCCATCACCACAGCGGAAGCACTCATCCTCGGACTGCCTCTTCCCATCCCCTCTCGCTCTGCGCCGCCTGGTTTTCTTCTTGGTCTTTTTCCCCTTTTCCTCTGAAGAAAGGGATGTGGAGGTCTAGAATCAAGATTTAAGCACAGTTCACTTAAAGGAGCACACAGATGAAGCAGTAATAAAAGGTACACTGTGAGGACAGGTACTCAGTGCCCCAGACCCACCCGCCTCTGGCCAGCAGGGGGTTGGCAGGGTGTGCCTGGCAGGGCAGCTCACCAGATGCAGCTTTGGCTTACCAAGAGTGTGTAGCAAGCTAACTGAGACTGACTTGGGTGAAACTCTCGAGCAACAACTCATCTAGGCACTGGTGGCTAATAGTGGGCCCAGGACCCCCTACTGGGGCCCGTGGCACAAAGGATGCCTCAGCAGAAAGAGTGACGCCCACCTGCCTCCAGGATCCCTTCATGAGGTATCACATCAGACCTGAGAGTGCCACCAACACAGAGACAGATACCAGCTCAGAGAAAGGAGCATCAGGCTCAGCGCCTGTGGCTCAAGCGGCTAAAGCGCCAGCCACATACACCTAAGGTGGCCGGTTCGAATCCCCAGCCCGGGCCCGCCAAACAACAATAATGGCTGCAACCAAAAAATGGCACAGGTGTGGTGGGCGCCTGTAGTCCCAGCTACTTGGGAGGCTGAGGCAGGAGACTCGCTTGAGCCCAGGAGTTGGAGGTTGCTGTGAG